CTACATTCCTTTCCCTTGTACTGTGTGCACTTTTCAATGACTGCATTTTGCAGAAACGTATACCCGACTGTTGGAGACTAGCTTCTATCACCCCTGTGCCTAAGAAAGGATCCTCAAAATTCCGTCCCATTGCCTGCACCTCAGTTGTCCTGAAGGTGTCTGAGAGGCTCCTCCTTAAGACCCTGTCCACACAATTCACTGTAGTTGACCCTAACCAGTATGCATACACCCATTCCCGTGGTACCCTGGATGCCCTTGCTTATCTATCCCACTATGTTTTATCTAACCTGGACAAGAAAAGTAAGGCTGTCCGCATGTTTTCTTGATTATAGTGATGCTTTCAACACGATTAATCGACAAACTTTGTTAAATACCTTCTCTTCGGGCGGAGTTCAACCTTCTACGATTGAACTCTTGGCCAACTATTTTTCAAACCGTCAGCAGTTCACACGCTACACAGGACGTACATCTTCACTGCTGCCCTCCTCAAAAGGTGTTCTACAAGGCGCCATTTTATCCCCTTTTCTATTTTCTGCCTACATTTCCTCTATGCCTGTGAGAAATTCTTCTCTTCTCGTCAAGTCTGCAGATGATATAATATTCGGACTGTCCTACCCCAACTCATCATTACAAACGATTCTGCAAGAAGACGTGACTGGATTAGTTGAATGGTAACAACAAAGAAACCTCTGCATGAACCCTCAAAAATGTTTGACGTATTTTTTTCTCTTCTGAAAGGGCAAAAGTTTGATGAATTATCAAACGCCAGCCCACCTTTATCTATCCTGAGCGAGCAGATGGTTACGAAAACCGATTGTCAAATACCTGGGAGTTATTTTTAATCATAACCTCACCTGGTCTGACCATGCCAATGACGTTTTTTTTGAAGGTCAGGAGGCTTACTTTTTATGTTTTACGCCTTAAATCCCTTTCCATTCCAAACCATCTCATAAGGCGTTTTGTTTTTGCGTGCGTTTCGCCTCATTGGCTTTATGGATCCCCTGTTATCTTCCCTGGTCTTTTGAACAAGGACCTCAAACTCATTTTCCGATCCCTC